AGAGAAAAGATAAAGATCAAGGAATGCTCTTAAACTAGAGAAATGTATTTTCATGTTTTCGCTGCAATGAAGTTGATTGTCTTCTAATTAAATTGGAACCAACAGGAGAATTTAATTTTGAGGAACAGTTTTATGTTTTCAAGGTTATTGAGGTTCTATACGTTAATTCCATCTCTGCCCAACGGTGATGTAGAATTAATGTAGAAGAATGATGTTTTATTCTATTTCTGCCCAACGGTGATATAGAATAGAACATAAAGATTTCAAAGTTAATGAGCATTATTGTTGAATATTTTTTCAGACAAAAGACCTCCATGCTTTCATTCTTGAAGGCAGTAAGAGAAATGAGCTGAGTACTTGTGACTCAGATGATGAAATGCCTAAGGGCAAGTTATGTATGAAAGAATGCTATTGTTTAAGGGACTGTGTTATCTTTAAAGAATGGCTTCAAAAAAAAGAATTCTAGGATATTGATCCAAAAAAAGAGATAGATCAATGAGAATCTTCATTGAGAAATGTCTTTTATGTACTCTCTGTGAAGAAGAATTTATTTTCAGTTTCACTTGTGAGAGTTGTAAAAGTCATATACATGTTTAATTTGACCAACATTGGATTAAACATGTGTGTGAAAAGAATATTCAGATTTATTTCTGAATTTGATGATTGAACACGTGCCAATCCTGATATTTATGTCCATTTAAGGGAATTATCTCGCATGACGGTAAAAGTTTGTGATAGTACCCGCATGACGGGAAAAGTTTGAGAAAATACCCACATGGCGGGGTAAAGTTGGCATAGTACTTATCCCGCATGGCGGGAGAAGGATGTGATGACTCATGTGCTTTAACTATATCCCGCACATGGAGAGAAGTTTGGGGTAGCTCTTATGCTATCCTAGTACTGACCGTACACTCTGATTGTGTCATGGTCATTAAGTACTCAATGAGTTTAAGAACAAAAGAAAGTTGTATGTGAACCAAAAGATAAGAATGATATGGAAGTCATGACTTGCAGAAGTATTGATAATAATAGACTATGTTGAGTTTTGAAATGAAATGAGGAAAATGTACTCCCATACAAATTTTGTTTGCATGATGTAATCATGTGGATGAAGTAGGTAATCAAAGTTTCCTCATTAACAAGAGTTCTGAATGTTTTTCAAAATTGTGGTAGAAAAGTTCATACCACATTTCGAGGGGGAGAAATATGAGATTAATTAAGAAAGATACTTCCCCATACTTCATATAATGCAATGCATACTATGCATTGAAGGTAAAAGTGATCTATAAAAGATGAATGTGATCGTTGAGGGAGTAAGACGGTCATAATAACGATACCTCTAAAGTAAATAAATAGCTAAATTCTTGGACCTTTTACAGTTCCGATAGGAAGATAGCATAGTCGGCTAGTATTCATACTGGACGAGTTTAGAGTTATCAAGACGGTGCTAAACACGCCATATGAGTTTTTAGCAGATTAAACTCAAAATAAGAAATTTGAAGATACACCATCTTTACAGAAGATGGAGTAATCTAGGGGGGCATGGTATGTAGATACCTAAGGCTTGAATAGAAGTGGGATTACATATCCACTACAGTGGTTTTAGAGCAATAAATTGCTTAATACATGTTGATGTTGTATGACATATACAACACCTGATGTTAGCTCTTAAAGAAGATGAATAAGTAAACAAGGATCTTGTGATACAAGAGGCTATAGAACAATTGCCTTTTGGCAATGAAGAGCAACAATAGCCCCATATGAAAGAAGTGCCACATGGCCCCAAAAGGTCTCAAAGAATAAGAAAATCATATATTTCTGGTGACTAAGAAGTCAATGTTAAGAAAGAAATTCAAATAGAGAGTGATTCCACCTCATTTGAAGAAGTCATGAGAGACGTTCACTCGTCTAAATGGCAAGAAGCAAAGGAAGATGAAATGAAATCGATAAATACCAATGATGTTTGGGACCTAGAAGAAATTTTTAATTGAGCCAAAACAGTAGGTTGTAATGGGTCTACAAGACAAAGGTGACTCCAAAGGGAATATAGAAAGATATCCAAAAGCAATATGGAAAGCTATAAAGCGCCATTTGTGGTGAAATGATTTACACAAAGAGAAGGAATAGATTATAATGAGCATGCAAGGATTCTTTTAAAATCATAATGGTGTTAGTGGCACATTACGATTTACAGTTACATCAGAAGGATGTAAAGACACATTCCTAAATGGGGTTTTGTATGGAAAAATTTTACATGGCATAACTCAAAAGGTTTTGTCGTGGAAGGAAAAGAACGTAAGGGATGTTGTCTGAAGAAATCCATTTATGGATTAAAGCAAGCTTCAAGACATTGGTATTTGAAGTTTGACAGTACAATAAGAAAGTTTGGGTTTAAAGAGAATGTAGAGGACAATTATATTTATGTAAAGTTTAAACATGGGAAATTTATTTTCCTAATCCTGCATGCGGGTAGCACCTTACTCGCTAGTAGTTGTGTTAATCTACTGTTGAAGAAGAAATAATTTTTGTCCTCAAGTTTCAATGAGAATGATCTTGGTAAAGCGTCATTCGTTCCAGAAATTGGAACTTACCGAGACAAAAGGAAAAGGGGTATTAGAACTATCTCAAGTGTATACTTAGAGAAGATTCTAAAGAAATAAAGTATATATGTGAGTAAACCTGCGCTTGTTCCTATAGTAAAGGGTAATAGTTTTGGGAATTTCCAGTGTTCCAAGAACCAATGTGAGATCGATCAAAAGGACGTCCTATATGCTTCACCTGTTGGAAGCTTAATGAATGCTTATAAGTAAGAACTTACCCTGACATAGTTCATGTATCCGGGATATTTTAGCAGAAGTCCAGTCCAGATATAGATCATTGGAATGGAGTTGAGAATGTTTGGTAATTGTGCAAAGATTTATAAGCCTCGTGGTGAGTAAGAAAGAATAAGTACTCTTAAATAGTTGTGGGTACAAATGTTAAATTTTGACAAGATATTTAGTGAAACCCACATAGTAGCTAACACTCACAGTTGGAGTTTTATTGTGGAAAAGCTCCAAAGAAACAGTTGTGGTGTCATCAAAGATGCATAACCATAGTATAACTTGTTATGAGGCTTAAGGACAGACAAAAAGGTTAAAAGAACTTACACCCAAAATTGATAATAGTAGTCAACAACAATAACCATTTAAGTAGTTCGCTCCTATAACAACGGGTCAAGTGTGCTGCCAAACACATTGACGTTAAAGTTGTACGTTGTGAAGGAGAAAGTCCGAATCATACTAAAAGTATTGAACATATAAGTAACAAGCAAGTACTTGCGGATCCGCGTATAAAAGGCTTACCACCCAGTGTGTTCAGAGAACACACAATCGACATGGGTTTAAGGGAAAGCCTATGATTTTTGGACAATAAAGGGCCCAAAGTTAAAGAATCTGTTTCAGAACAGAGACGTGTATTGTAGCTGTTAAATCTATCGATGATTGACCGTGACGATGAAGCATGCTCTATACACTAATCTGTGATGGAACAAATAAAACTGAAAGGGATTAAAGTCAAAGTTTAAAGTTAAAGTATGAGTTGAGATTAAGGGGGAGAATATTGGTTTGATCTCCCAACCACAGTGGCCCAACGACCACTTGGGCCTTGACCTCACGCCCTGATTGGGGGCGCCTAGTCCATCTATGGCTGGTGGCCCCCCGTCACACTGCGTATTAAATAGAGATGGGGGCTGGCGGCTCTCAGCACGAGGTTGGCCTGAGCCGTACGCCCCACTGGCAAACCCTACTCCGATCTAACAGAGGGGCGTAGCTAATGATGGGAAGCACCACCGCCACCACTGCATTGCGCCACCACGGTCTTCACCCCGGTTTCCACTGCGATGCCCTTCTTCTCCGACTGTCGCTGCCTAGCAGCAGAGCTTCACCGACGAACCAACGATGGCATGGAGCTCTTCCAACCCCTCCGACGATCAAATGCTCCTACATCTCTCTCTGTCTCATTTCCCCGAAGCAAACTCTAGGTCTATTTGATTCAATTAGTAAAGATATCCTACTCTGATCTACACCTAGATGGTCAAAGACTCTAACACTTTGGTCTCATGGGGCCTGTTTGCTTGTCTGAATTTTGGAGGAATCTAGATGGTTTGGAGAAATCAGGAGGAATTTTATGCCTCTAAAAAAATGCTTCAAGCTTTAGAGCCAATCGGGGCCATCTCTTCGGTCTCTCGCTGCCTTATGCCTCTGATACTCATGCCAATCGGACCTCTCTTGGTTCTCACGCTTCATGGTGCTCACGTTCATGGTGATCGTCGAGCCTCTGTTTTTTTATCGAATTCAACTTCTGAAAGTTTCGGTTTTTGACCGTTTACAACCTAATCATGACAAGGAGCTTTGTACGGCGTCAATCTTGGGCGCACATCCTGGAGCTATTTCTCTGGGCCTTAATTCTTGCAATCGCTGCTTCTCAATGGCCCACACCTAGATTTTTGCCCCAATAGAACACGTTGTGACTCCTACTTCAGATTGGGCCATGTTTCCGCTAGATGCCGGTTCCCACCATGATTTCGGGGTCTCATTCCTTCTCCGCTGCCCTCCTTTCCTGCTCTGGTGCAGCCGGTTAATGGTTTGAATTGGTTCAAACAACCTATCAGGCCGACAGTTGGGGTCAGTTCCAGTGGACCTCCGGTTTTCCCTCCTTTGGTAGGATGGCTCACGCTCTCTTGGGTCACCCGGTGATTGATCCGGCTACCATTTTCTGGCCTTCCTCCCTAGATGTTTCCCTGTCTCTACATCTTCCTCTGCAAACTCTGCCGCCCACCTCCCCGGTTCAAGCTTCCGCTTTGTGTGGTGACTCACCGGCTCTTGCTCCTCACAGCCATCAAGCAGCCGCTAGTGCTCTCACGCTTTTCATCCTTGCCCACTGATGGTGTTGCGACTGTAGACCAGGAAAACACAACCCCAGCTATAGCTCCACTCGGGTTCATGAATTCAGTAGCGGCGATGGCCTACCGCTTTGTCGATCCCGCGCCCTTCATTCCGTGGAACTTCGAGCGAGTGATGATGAATGGTCATCGTCCGATGTCAAGGGTGGTACTTGGTCAACAGCCATGGCGGAACAACGATGTCACCATTGCTATGATCTCACCTCTCCTGCAGCATCAGGTGGACTTCTCAGCCATTCGAGGTGTTCTTGTGGATTTCATCAATGTTGAGAAGAGGCTTACCTACGAATCAATTCAACCTTGTCCTTTTGGACAAGCCTATGTTCGCTTCTCCAACTTTCATGATCGTGATGGGATGATCTTCAATAGCCCACATCATTTTGGTGATGTTCAAATTTCTTTCATTCCGCACGATAGAGCCTGGGATAATAGAACTGTCAATCTGAATCATGAGGTGTGGTTGATGCTAGTAGGCTTCCCCTTGGATTTTTGGACCTATAGTATTATTGAGAAAGCCCTTGGGACATTTAGCAAGCTTATTGCTTGTGAGGAAGACTACAATCATATGGCCAGAATTATGATTAAAGCTTGGGTAGTGGAATTAGAGGATATCCTGTGGTTTGTGCTTGTTTCTGAAGGAGATGATTTTGAGAGTGAGTCCTGGACTGTCCAAGTTGAGATCCTACAGTCCAAAATGATTGGTGCTATCCCGCAAGATGAGGACAATCCATCGGAAGACCCAGAAGATATCAACCTGCAGTTCTTCGATTTTTTTTGTTTGCGGTCAGCATGGTCAGGGGCCACAGGGTCCTTCTCTCCTGGGCTGCTGGAGGCAATCCGAATGGTGGACATGGTAATCCTGCTCCCCATGGTCACCAAGGAGGTCCTCATGGTTGGGGTCTTGTCTTCAGCCTCCTGCACCACCAGCTCATCTTCAGTTCGTGTAGGGTCAATTCGATCTCAACAGTCCAATAATTCCAGAGCCTAATGAAGCTTTCCCAATTTGAATGACATTCCTCAGCTTGTGCCTTTGAAAAATGTGGTGAATCAAGGTGATATTGCAGCGGATCAGAATGAGGTAGATGAAGACATTGGTGGGATACATGCCCTAATTGAAGCGACCTGATTTCCGTGAAGGAAAATCCACAGAGTCAAAGTGTAATAAGACCGTTATAGATCATATTACCCAAATTCCAGTCGAATATCACATCCATGCAATGATAATATCATAGTACAAATAGTGCGGAATTACATAAATTATTACATCGCCGCATTGGTGGAATCAAAATTAGCATTCATTCAGAACAGCTTGAAGATAAGATCGCCAAACTCGAGTGTAGGAACGAACCCCTCAACCGTCAAACTCCTCAGAGCTATACTCCTCAGCAGAACCTGTGTGCCAAAATTTATCAGTACGATTTGTACTGGCCACTCCCACCCTATGAGCATTGCTTTGTAGAAATTGGATGCAAGTTGTATATAATCAAAAGGAACCTATAAAGTTGGGGTTTCCTATGTATTAGCATTTTAAGTATATAATAACAGTTGGCCAAGTTTTAACACCATTTACACACCCATTCCACCCCATTTCCATCCAGAGCCAGGTTTCGATCCTGGGATCGATATACCACCATCTCCACACCATCACCATACCACAACCATACCATCACTCAGTCAACAGGCCAACTCTCTCTCGGCACTGTCTCAAGGCCCGTAGCCCTTGGCTACATCCGAACACTCACTCCCAGGGAGAGAAGAGAAGAACTCATCTTACTATCTAGTTTAAGCGAAACCCAGGAAAGGTCCATAGCCAACAAGTCGGCATATGTATCGATCGATCAACCATACACTCTGCAGAGGTTTTACATAACCACAAGATCCGCCTTCCTCGCCGACCGTCATCAATCAGGCCGATTCCTGATTCCAGGCGCTTGCTAGCCTAGGATAATGCCACTCTACCATTCACCTGGTACACCCCAAGTCTAGTCCGGGTGGTGAAACTATGGGTCATGAGCCGGGTCAACAAGGTCTCCATGAAGTCTCTAAAGGTGTGGGGAAATCCTCCGCGCCCCTGCATTCTCCCTCACACACTGTCCGGTATCAACCTAGCAAGAGGTGGCAATATCCTACCAAGTAGTCCTACCGTCCCCGCACCATATAGGGCGAGTGGTACGTAAGGCTTCCCGATGAATCTGAGTACTAGTAAGTCTTTAGGGATGACCAAGCCGTAATGTCTTCATCGTGGTTTCCATTTACCGTGCCACCACAAAGATCTCCACCCTAGGCTCCTCCCATCACAGAGTTCACACCTGTGGCCACCTCATATACCATTTACCCACCACAGGTATCCATTCTAGGGGTGCCTAGGTAGCACCCCATGGCAAGACTTGCTCCAGGCTCGTCGTATACTCCAACTTGGTCGACACAACCCTCACCCTCCACGCACCCAAGTCACACACGCAACACTCTCCCCATTGTCCAGATAACACCAGTTTCCACCATGCATCAATGTAGCGCAAGCGTAGTAGAAGTAATAAGCAATGAAATATAGTAGCAAGCGTGTGACTAGCCTAACAGTAGGGTGAGCAGGGGTAAGGTTGCGTCAAGATAAAGGTCATCAAGAAAGCATACTACCATGCAAGTCCTATCATAGTGTGATCATAACAATAAAGTAAAGCACTAGCATTTCTATTTTAGCCATGTATAATAGGTGCTACAAGGTTGAGTGGGATGTGGCACCTTCAGTGTAGTCATCTCCGTACTCCTCATGGTACTCACGATCCTCGTCCGTCTAGTTCTCCTCCGAGTCTACAAACGATCGCATTATAGTCACGTTAGCGACGTCTATAGAATAGCACAAAGATGCAATAAAAATTCAAAAGAGCCAAATGCATTCAAACATGGGTTCATTGCGTAGAGCTTGATTTTAGATGAATTTTGGTCCTAGTTTCGTATTTTTCTGAGATCACATGAATTAGTTATGAATTTCCGAAGATTAAATCCATTTCTGAAAATGAAAAAGGCTGAATTAATCCTGGGCTGACACGTGTCACGCTGTGACTGGTCCACGTGGCATGCTGACGTTAGCATGACGTCAGCATGATGTCATCATCTCGGTTCCGAGCTGACAGGTGGGGTCCAGCTGACGTCAGTATGACGTCATCAACGTCATCAATTCCGACAGGTGGGTCCAAGGGCTCTTGGGTCACTGACATGTGGGTCCGACCAAAGTCAACGTCAAGTCAATGGCGAGTCAACAGTCAACGGGTCAGGGTCACTGACGTGTGGGGCCAGGGCTGCTGACGTCAGCAGCTGACATCACCGTGACGTCACCTCGGCTGTGTTGCTACTAACAGGTGGGTCCCGTGTGACGTCATCACGACATCAGCATGCCGTCACCCACTGACATGTGGGTCCCGAGCCTTTGTGACACTGACATGTGGGGCCAGGTCAACTGTCAACGTTGATCGGTCAACGGTCAACTCGGACTGGGTCTCAAACGGGCTCTGGCGAGCTTCGGGTTGGGCCGGTTTGGGCCAGGCCGGCCCGGACACGTGGCATGCTGTGGTGCTGCCACGTCACTGCCATGGGCTCCTAGTGGGTTTTGTCTACCGTGCGGGCCGCACTGTGTGGTCCACGGTGAACTCAGGTTCACGGTTCATGGACCGTTTGCAGGCCTACGGTGGACCGAGTCCACCGTTTTTCCTTTCGGCTCGGCTCACGTGCACCGCGTGTAGGGCTGCGCTGCCCATCTCACCCCCTCTCCTCTGTTTTTCCCACGGCGGCTTACACGCCGGCGGCGAGCGCCCGGTGAGCCTCGCCAGTGACGCTGGTGCGCAATCGATGCGGGTGAAAGCTCCGCCGAGCCTCGGCATCTTCGTTGGTGGGGTTAACGCGGCGTGTGGGGTCCCGTGGTGTGCCGGCCACGGCGGTGGTCTTCCGAGCACGACGGCGGCGTCGGTGAGGTGGCTACGGCCTCGGAGAGGCGTCTCGGTGGTGCATGTGAGCTTCACGATGCTTTTGCGGGCACAGTGGTTTTAGCGCAGCGCCGCCAAGGCATCATCCGGGTGGTGGCTGGCACGTGACACGGAGGCATCGGCGGTCTCAAACGGGCGCGCTTCTCGTCACTGATTGGTCGGGAGGGGTCTTAGCAGCGAGGGCTCACTGTTGGTGTCGAAGGCGATAGGGTGGTGATGTAGTGGCGGTTCGAGGCCGTGTAGCTCTGGAAGCAGTGCAGCGTTGCTATAGCCGATCGTGGCGTCGTCTCCAGCTCCGACGGCTTCGGTGGTGCTCCGATGACGCCTCCTTCTCCCTCCTCCCTCTCTTCTCTCTTGGTTCGGGTGTGCTGAGGACGGCCACAAAGTGGCGGCGGGGTGATAGGCAACGCTTAGGGCTCCCCGGGGCCGGGGCTTTTATAGCCGAGCTCGGCCATGGAGCTCGGTGATCGGCGGATGGAGACCGAGGGGCGATCGGAGGCGCGTGCTTGCATCCAATGGCGCATGCGTGGTTGCGTGGGCGTGGCGCGCCAGGGGACAAGGCCGAGATTCGCGTGACCCCGCCCGCACTGCCAGGTGCTGCTCGGTGCTTGGTCGAGGAGTGATCGGCGGGGGGGGAAAGAAGACGACACTGTGGCTGATGTGTGGGCGACGTCAAGGGGCCCGTGTGGCGGCAGCAAGAAGGGGAGCGGATGAGTGCGTGGGCGTCTGCGCGCGTCTTTGGGCGGGCTCAGGGCCACGTCTGCTGGCACTGGGGTGGATGGCGCGCGGTTGGGCTGGCTGGTCATGGGTGGGGCCAGAGCAGGCCTAGCTGCTGTGAGGCTTCTTTCTTCTTTTTCTTTTTCTATTTTGTTTTTCTTCTTCTTTGTTTTGAATTCAAATTTGGTTTTGAAATTTGAATTCCAATTTGGTGCACCTTATTAATTGGAGTTTTTAGATATGAGGGCCACAACATTCTTTTATATGTGTATATTAGAAATTTATTTAGCTATTTTGTATAACAAAAATTAGGTGTAGTTTTGTTATACAAAAATAGAATTAGTTTTCTCTTTTAAACATTTATTCTTTGGCTTGATTAATAATTACTTTAAGGTTTATTTCTTTAAAGAAGTTGTTAAGTATAACATAAAGCAAATGGAAATCCAAATCATAAGTGGTATTAATATGCATGCAAGGTTCATTAACTTAAGGAACTTAATCACATGTTTATGCTAAGAGTTATGCCATGCTTATGTGTTGACTTGGGTTGGGGTTTGACCTAATGCATCTATTAGATTGAGTTTCTATACATGACACTCATCATCATATAGGAGTTCTAAGAAAAATTTTGCAGTTAGTATTTTTGGTGTGTGGATTTTTGGGTTGTTACACTAATAACTGAAGCTATTGCCATGAAGGATGCTCAGGGAGAAATTGAAATTTCTGATCATATTGTGCTTGATGATTCCCTGTCCGTTGCTTCAGACCCTGTTTCATCTATTGGTACAAACCTCCCTGACCTGAATGTTGTTCAAGAGCCTGAGCCCCTGCCACCGGCTCCACCTTTGGCTTTTATGCCTGAAGAGATAGGGGGAGATGCCCTTATGAATGATGCTGAACTAGCAGAGTTAGTTGCTAATGAGACAGCCATCCACGACCCTGAGATTGTTCCTGCAGCTGAAACATCAGAAGGTCCTATTGATAACCAGACTCTGCACCTGGGTTTTGTGGAGATCATGACACCAGAGGTTGATCCAGTGTTTGTCGACCGTTTCCCTGCGGGATTCAAGCAACATCCGGATGCGGTTAGACAGTGGGCTAAATTCTTCTCTTCAGGCCCACCCCAAAAGGCTATTGAAGTTCCTCTTCCTTGGGCTGACTTTGTCACAAGCCTGCTCTTGCAGCCCAAACACTTTGACGACATCAAGAACTTCATCTCTTCAGAAGCTTGGAGCTTCTTCGCTTCTTCAACTTTTAGTAATATTAGCTTCTCTGTTCCTTCAGTTTGCCCAATTTCGCCCAACTCTGTAGCTCTTCACTCTGGGGTTTCTATCTCGCCTTTGGATGCACCAGTGTGGGAGCCTGAACCAGAGGAGTCTTCAGTTCCACAAGGCAATATCTCCCCGTCTACTCCAAAGGGTAAGCGGCCTCTGGTGGAGACAGAAGTCCGGCGCAGCCCCAGGATCCAGAAGTTGAACAATGGTTTTAAAAACAACCGCTGTGCTGAAAAGAACTGCTTGGCCTGCAATGTTAAACCCCCCACCATTCCCAACAATGTGATCAAGAGCTCAGGGGCTGAGTTCTGCAAGGTGGCCACCTCTGATCTGTCGGATGCACGCCTACAGGAAAAGAAGAGCAAGAAACCTGCCAAGAAATCTAAGACAGGGGCTCCTGGGGACTCCAAGGCAAAGAAAGCCTGAAGTCTTAAGTTGATGGCAGTTTTTTGTTACCTTTTGAATGTGTAATGCATTCTTCGTTCTTCGGCCCTTTATGCTCTTAGTTTATCAATGAATCTAAACCTTGTTAAGACCTGGAAAGTCCTCTGTTGAAATATTCGTGGGGTTAACGCTGAGAAAAAATGGAACTCCATCCGTAATAAAATCTCTGAGTGTAGCTGTGATGTTCTGTGTTTGCAAGAAACTAAACGTGAAGTGTTTGATATGCATTTTGTTCGTGGCTTCTGTCCCCCTTCTTTTGATAATATTGAGTACCTCCCCTCAGTTGGTGCTTCTGGGGGTCTCCTCATTGTTTGGCGAGGTGACAGGCTAAGAGGCTCGGTAGTTTTCCAAAATCCCTACTCTCTCTCGGTTGAGTTCTTTTCTAATTTTGATAATTCTTCATGGATTCTTACCAATGTTTATGGTCCATGTGTTGCGGCTGACAAAAGGGCTTTTATAAACTGGTTCAAAAATATTTCTATGCCGCCCACTGTTGACTGGCTGGTGCTCGGCGATTTCAACCTCCTCAGAAATCCATCAGATAGAAATAAGCCTGGTGGTGATGTGTCAGAGATGCTCATGTTCAACTCTGCTATCAGTGCTCTAGGTCTAGTAGAACTTCCCCTTTTTGGTAAACAGTTCACTTGGAGTAACAAGCAAAACTCCCTACTGTTAGAACGTCTCGACTGGTTTTTCATTTCAGCTTCCTGGACCTTGACTTACCCAGCTACATTTGTAAAATCTTTGGTCATGGAAACTTCGGATCATGTACCTTGCCTGGTGTCTTTTGGTACAGATATCCCTCATTGTCACCTCTTTCGTTTTGAGAACTACTGGTTGCAGCATGGTCATTTTTTGGATTTAGTGTCCCAGAGCTGGTCGCAGCCGTGTCATCTTTCTGACTTGGCAAAGAAGGTAACTGCTAAATTCAAACGTCTTCGTGCATCTCTGAATCAGTGGCAAAAGCAGCTGTCCAGCTTGAAAGGCGTCATTGACAAGGTTAAATTGGTAACTTAATTTTCTGGGCACTTTAGAAGAATTTCGTGATCTCTCAGTGGAGGAATGGAATTTTAAGTCCATCCTAGAAGACCATCTGGTTTCTCCGCTGAGCCAGCAAAAGGCCTATTGGAAGCAACGCGGGCAGATAAATTGGGTGAAATCAGATGATTGTTCTACAAAAAAATTTCGCGCCCACGCTACCCTTAAGCACAGGAAAAATCTAATTTCAACCATTGAAGATGGTGATGGAGTCGTTCACACTAATCATGATTCAAAGGCAAATGTTCTGTGGCTATCTTTTAAGGACCGTTTGGGCACATCTGACTATGACACCATGCTCTTTAATCTTACTGAGTTTTTGCAGCCTGTGTCGGATCTTGATTTTTTGGAATTGCCTTTCACCACAGAGGAAATTGATCAAGTGGTCCGTGCCTTGCCTTCGGACAAATCGCCGGGTCCTGACGGTTTTAACACAGATTTCTACAAGAAATGCTGGCCAATAATAAAGATGGACTTTTATGAACTGTGCTCTTCTTTTCAGCAGATGACCTTATGTCTAAGAAGTATTAATGGTTCTTATGTGACTCTTATTCCTAAAAAAGAGGATGCAGTCAAAGTAGGTGACTTTCGGCCAATTTCTCTCCTTAATACATCCATCAAACTGATTACTAAGTTACTTGCCAATCGGTTACAACAAGTTATCATGAAGCTTGTACACGCCAACCAGTATGGTTTCATCAAAACGAGGACTATTCAAGATTGCATTGCCTGGTCGTTTGAATACTTGTACATGTGCCACCAATCAAGAAAAGAGCTGGTCATTTTAAAACTTGATTTTGCAAAAGCCTTCGACACAATTGAGCATGAAGCCATGATTCAGATTATGTAAGCCAAGGGCTTTGGTGTTACTTGGTTGGGTTGGATCAGGAGTATATTTTCTTCTGGTACTTCAGCAATTCTCTTAAACGGTGTTCCGGGTAAGACCTTTCACTGCCGACGTAGAATTAGACAAGGGGATCCTTTGTCGCCTCTTCTTTTTGTGTTAGGGCTTGCGCTAACTAAACTTCAGATAACAAGGTAAAAAGTCCAAATTACTCCCACGTACATGGACATTGCCTAGATAAATACCTAAATTTAATTCATATATATACTTAGGGTCTACTTGGTTTACGACCACAACTTATCATGTTAAAGATTTGGAAAGCAAAAATTAGGCAAAAATGTTTGCTATAAATTTGGCAAGTTCAATATAAGAGGTTGGCAAGTTTTGCTAGCAAACCAAATGACAACAAAAAAATACCGCTTGCCAAATTTTTATTGGCTTGACATATGTTGGAAGCCAACCAAACATGCTTTTAATTGGATATTTCAGTTTAATCTGATCTACCTCTTAATAGGATTTCCCTCTCCCCGTACAAGTTGAGTTTATAAAGTTCAAAACACGCAGGATGATAGTAGATATTGTAACTACTTCGTCCGTCCTGTTCAAAAATTCAACTCACACATAATAGGACATGGGCGTCCATCCATCCGGACGTCGTGCACTCGCATTCCGCCTCGCTGCTTCAGTGTGCGTCCGCACTCCGCCTTGCTACTTCAGTCCTATCTTTAAAAAGAAAAGATAGCGTCGTTCACCTTCTCCAACGCGGGGCCGCTTGTTGTAGGCAGCTCATCCGCCCACCCGCCTTTCTCCAGCGCGACGGCGTCGCACCCCGCGCCCATCCACCTCACCTGTCGTGGAAGGGGAGGCATGCGCCTGCGCCTGCGGAGGCCTGTGCCTGCGCCTGGGTGTACGTTGAGCCGTTGATGTACCCCTGATAACATGTTGCAAGCGTATGTTTCAAGTGTTTCAAAGGTATGTTGCAAAAGTATATCAGAATGTTGCATATGTTGCAATGGCTATACACGTATGTTGCAAGCGTCTGTTCCAAATGTTTCATCTATTTTTTCAGACGTATGTATCAATTGTGTTTATTTGGATGTTGCATATGTTTCACACCTATGTTACAAATGTTTTATCTGGATGTTGCATATGTGTTGCAATGACTTTTCAAGTGTTTTTGCATGTGTTTCAGACGCATGTTTCAAGTGTTTTTAATCTGTCTTCAGACGTATGTTGCAAATGCTTCATCTGGATGTTTCAAAAGTAGGTCGAGTGTTGCGCATGTTGTAATGGCGCCAGTGGCTGGCGGACAGTGACATGTTGCAGGGCTTCGGCTCCTACCTCGCGCCTCTCCTATCTCTCCCCTCCCTTCCCTTCCCTCCATCTCGCCGAGGCAGTTCGAGCTCGGCAGGGAAACCCTACCTATCGAGCGCATGGACGCCCGCGGTGGTGGTGGGCCGACGGCGGTGCGATGCCCGTGTGGTGGCCCATAGCAAGTTGAGGTCGGTGCCGTCCGTTCGCTACGCACAGAAAACAGAGCAACCGCGAGCGTCCGAACGTCCGGGCCAGCACTGTCATTAAGAGATTTTAGGGGACAAAACAGTCAGACAAATTTGGTACGAACTACATCGATACTTACTATTTATCAAACAATATCCATTAATCATGTTAATGACAGCGTTTGATCCTAAAATAAAGCAAGAACACATTTTTTTTTTGTATTCTCTCTTAACTTCCTGATCTGCATCTATACCTAATATTAAAATAGTAAAATTAGTGGCCTAATTTTTTTTTTCATCTAACTCTCATCCCTTCTCAGATTCTGGTTTTTGTCCGTCAATCCTCTTTCGGTGTCCCGTTCAGTTTCAATCTAATCTAATTTTCCTTTCCTCGATTTGTCTCCATGTGCAGTTCAGCGGTCCGACTTTTTTCAGCTTCTGTCCGATTTTTTTACTGTTATGAATTTTTTATTGTTTTTGGTAGTCACCGTTCGTCCGCTCAAGTGATTTTTCCAAAAAAAAATAAATAAATAACAAATGATAGATAAAATACTATTCACGTTTAAACCATTAACTTTGGGCCGCACGGACGTCCGGGAACTCACGCATGTTACAGCGTCAGCCCGCCCGCACGCGCGTACTGCTGCGCCTTCTTGCCCGCACGCATCGCTCCGCTGCTTTCCGTGCGAATGCACATGGGGACCACCTGCGCATGCGGGGACCGCCTGCGTCAGCTCTGTATCGCGCACAAGGGACCGTCTGTGCCTTCTCTAAAACACTTTGGAACGTAAAAGCGCTTCCAGCAATATATATCTAAAGTAGATATAACATTTAAAACATACGTTTGTAACGTATATGTATAGTTCACTGCAACATATGCAATATCCAAATAAAATACTTGTAACATACGTATATAGTCATTTCAACATATGCATCATCCATATCTAAATTTGCAACATCTATATAAAACACTTACAACATACATCTGGAATATGCAACATACGCTTTCAGTGTAACATGGGCGGGCGGCGCGGTGAACTGGCGCGGTGGAGGCGGACCCACGAGATGGCCACGACGGGCGGGGCACGCGACTGCCGGAGCGAATCCGCGTGGGCGGGCTGGGCGCACGACGGGCGGGGCGCTCGACAGATGGGAGCGAGCAAGGTGCACGGAGCGAGCGGCGCAAGCGGGCGGTCTGTCCGGACGGGCGGACGCCCGTTCATATCATTAGCGATTAACTTTTCTCTAAGAAATTTTTTTAATGCCTAGTTGTTAACATATTTTTAATTACAAACATATTTTTATTAAAACCTTAGATTAGCCAATGGCTTAACTAATGAAAATGTAAAGTGAAATCTTGAGTACTTTATTGTCTAATCTAGTCTAAATAAATGTATCTTTATAATCCCTGTCTGAGCTAGCATGTGAAAGTCGAGAGAGGTCTCCTACCATAATCATCAGTGGAGACATGTCAGCAACTAACTCCTTATTAACTTTAATCAAGATTTAAATATAGATTTTTATGAGTCCTCGGTTGTCACGGAACTCGGTATTTAACGATAGCAACACATGATAGAATGGAAATTAAAGTTTTTTTAAAC